CTTCAAATTGGATATATATATATATATATCCCTCGCGAACAATATGTAATTACAAAATTACTTCTGTGCCGTACCCCGAACCCGCATAACGAACTCCCCTCGATTGGACAGTTGCTTCCGCTCCACTGGCCCGCTTCGTTCTAATCCAAAATTACTTCCTTTATCTAGTACATGAGTCATGCCTAACAGTACGATATGAGTTGTGGGGCAAAAAATGAGGGGTAGGTTGGGGTGTGTGCGATATGAGTTGTGGGGCAGTAAGGGTCGACATGAGAGAAGGAAGAGAGTCTTTGTTAAGAGAGGATATTGAGAGATAAGAGAAGAAGCATCTTATTAGTTGACAATCACCGTCACAATCACAATCAGAGAATGGTCATGATAAATTTAAAAATGGTGATTTCATTACAAGTGAGATTCATGTAGTGTATGTCTCTGAGTTTTGAGCTAATAACAAGATAAAAATGTTTATATATATAGGCTTACTAATACAATGAGCTCAAAATAGCATTCAATATCAACCCCATTAATTAATGAGTCAGATAAGTTTCTTACTAAGCTATAGCACAAGCAATTTGAGAATGATGAGTTCTTTTGTTAGCCTATTGACATGTTAACGATTTAAAACTCTCTAAATTCTATTGACCATTTTAGAAGTATAAATGACTGGGCTTTGATTGAAATTTTTAGTGACTTATTTCTAATTACGGCAATGATATGTGCTTGAAAATAGAAACAAAGTCACATAAAAATAGAAGGTGGCATTCATTATATTTTATCCATGATTTAAAAAATCTAGAATTAACATTTCGAAGGCCTTCCTTGCTCTATTAAAATTTGTTTCTATCATTCATGAATTGGAATATAAAGCTATATATCTCTTCACACACACTAATACAGAGTATATACCTTCATTTATGTTGTGTTCCGAAAGATTTGTTGCAGTAGAGTAATAAATTATTACATTAGCGTTGGATGAAGATCTAGCACTCACACCGAGATAAAAGAGAGGTAAGCAGGAAAAGACACCTTAATTTTTTATTTGGAAAACAATGGAAAGGGAAAAAAAACTATGGGTCATGGCATGGTTGAAATAATCCACTATGTAATTGTAAGTGCATAGACTCACTCTTCTCTTGAATTAAAGAACATGAAATTATAATATTGATATGCAATAAAAGTTCAACAATAATAATTGTAACGAGTTGCAAAGATTGTAGTTAAAATTCTTCTGAAATACGAAGCTTAAAACTGATTATTTGTTTTCCTAATTGTGGAACAACAAGAGATATAGACAAAAATCTCAGTTTCTAGGTAGAACTTCCTAAAGTAAATTTTTGATATGGTTGCCAATGATTTGCCGAACCAACTGCCACCATTGCGCTCCATATAGCAACATATTGATCTGCCATACTACAAATGAGTCATAGAGAGAACCAAATTTGCAAGATATTGTGGAAAACATTTTTTAAGGGAACATTTTATTAGGCATAGGTTAAGTCCTTGTGCCATGCTTGCATTGGTTATTCCAAAGACAGATGGAAGGTGGGGTATGTGCATTTACAATCAAACTATTAATAAAATTGCTTTGAAATTTTAATTCCCTATGCCTTAGCTTGAAGAATTGTGGACGATTTTAGATGAGCAATAGTTCTTTTCCAAACTAGATCTTAGAAGTGGATACCACCATATCCGGATAAGACCAGGTGCTTGAAGAATTGTGGACGATTTTAGATGAGCAATAGTTCTTTTCCAAACTAGATCTTAGAAGTGGATACCACCATATCCGGATAAGACCAGGTGATGATTAAAAAATCACCTTCAAAACACATAAAGGTTCATATGAATGGAGAGTTACGTCTTTCTGACTATGCAATGCACCTAGTTAATTCATGCATTTGATGAATAAGGTATTGAATTATCTTGGCAAGTTTTTTACTATATATTTTGATGATATTTTACTTGGACGATCTTTTTACCCACTTTGATTTACCATTTGTGAAATTAAGAGAGCAGAAGCTATACATTAATGTGTACAAATGTGAGTTTGCAGTGAACAATGGGCATTTTTGGGCTTTATTGTTGGGTTCGAAGGAATCCAAACTGATCCGAAAAATGTAACAGTCATTCAATCATGCTTAAACACAGTACGCAACATTTCATTTGCTGGAAAACTTCAAAAAAAGATTCATAAATGGATTCAACATTCTTATGACACTGATTACTGATCATATGAAATGGTCATCATTTGTTTGGGGTTATGAACATCAACAAAGTTTCGATATCAAATTTAGTCTTATGCAATGCTCTTCTGTTGATAGCATTTGATTTAGAGAAGCCATTCTGAGTCCAAGTTGATGCTTTAGCTATCTGTATAAAAGCAGAATTGTCATAGGAATAAAGGCTAGTTGTATTCTTTAGCAAAAAATTAAGTGTGTTAAGGCACAAGTGATCAACTTATGACGTGAACTATATGATGTGGTGGAAGCCCTAAAGCAATGGGAACATTACATAATTTATTAAGAGTTATCCTATATGGTGATCAATAATCCTTACAGTTTTTATAATCTTGAAAATTTAGTTATGTGCTCAAACACAAATTCAAAAAAAATAATAAAGTAGCAGATGCACTTAATAGAAAAGGCCAACCTACTAGCAGTCGTTTAAACCATGATAAATTGAATGGAGTCAATTAAAGAGCTATTTGAGCTTGATGAGGATTTTTCGAACCATGGAGTAATTACAAATCTAGCACATCTAGTGCAGAGTATTCAAACATGGCTATCTATTCAAAGGCAACCTATTATGCATCCCTAATACCTCACATTGGACCCAACTAACTAAGGAATTATATTCCAGAGATTTGCTAGCCAATGTAGACAGAGATAGAACACTCACTCAATTCCAAGCTATATTTTATTAGTCATAGTCAAAGCTTCATCAAAATGTATGTTGTTATGTTGAGTGGTTCTTCACTCTTCAAATTTACAAGGGAAACAACCAAAACATTGGTCTTTAATTTGTACAACACTATCCATTCCTGAAATATTATGGATAGATTTAGGGTTCGTTTAGGGTGGCGGTGCGCCATCACTTTGAAGTTTTGTCTGCTTAGGTAAACAACAGTTTGAAAGCTTTTTCAAAATGTTGCCACTGAAATCTGCATTTTACCATCGGTCCTAGCTAAGTGCGATGACAGCTTTCAAACTACGGAATGACTTTTTCAAAAAAAAAAAAAAAATTAATAGTCATCACAACTTTTTAAATATCAGATTATTTTTCAACAACTTCACAACTGCTTCTTAATAAGTTGCAGCGACCTCAAACATACCCTTAAGCTAGATTCAGGACCAAACGAGAAATAATTTGGTATCGGTATTAGTGGAAAATTTCTCAAAATGTCGTATTTCTGTAGCATGCAAAAACATAAAAGATGTTGTTAATGTAGCTCGAATTCTTTTTAGAGACATTATTCGTTTAGATGGAAATCCTAGGAGTCTCAGTCTAAACAATAATATTAAGTTCATCAATTTTTTTTGGTTAGAGTTGTGGGAAGAGATTGCACGCTGAACTTTACATGAGCTCTGCTTACCACCCGCAAACTGATAAACAAATTGAAGTCATCAATCTTACGCTCACAAATATAATTAGGTGCTTAGCGAGGGAGCAACCAAATTTATGAGATGAAGTGCATTGGTCAACGGATAAGTCACCTTTTAATAATGTATATACCAAGGTTCCTAATCATTCCTTGGATCTAGCCGTTATTTCCAAACCTCGAGGCAAACATGGGTAGAATGTAGTCATAGACTTCACTTCAATGCTTCAAAACGTCAAGGAGAAGCTCTCTAACCGTGTAAATTTTATTAAGATAAAAAATTTGAGTAGCTACATTACATTAAGTTACCATATATTATGCTGAAGCTTCAAAAATATCTAGCATTTTATTTCTTGTATTCGCTCTTAATCTACAAATCAAGCTTCTGTTAGGCCTAAAATGCGCAGATGATTATGTGATTGTTTAAAATAATATATAACATGATACATGAGTCTCATTCTATATTGTGTCAAACAA